GTGACACGTACTTCAAAGTCCTTCCCGTTATGCCTCTGGGTCCTAGCGGGGTATTTGGTTGACGTTTGCCGGCTAGGTGTTCTTTTATGCGGACACAGAGGGGTCTGGCCGTTTCGTCAATGTATTCGTCTCCGCACGAGGAAGGCGAAATCCGCCGAAACGTCAGTTTATTCGTGAATAAAGAATAAAAAGTAACACCTCGTGTTTGCTCAACAAGAATACGAAGAATTACTTGATCAATGCCGAGGTTAATAGAAGGTCGGCCGTGGGAGTTACCCGTAAAAATTGTATCAGGCAGAAAATAAAAAGTAAACATTGGAATTTTCTGTTGTCCCAGTGTTTGACTGCAGCAGTTTCCTTATAATCAAATTTCTCATCGAGGTATGGTCCCAGGGAAAGCGCTTCCAAAAACATAATGCACAGATGGTTTTTCACGCTGTAGATATGATCATTGATGACAATAAAGAAGATTGTCAGTGCACTACTGGAATTTACGACCATTTTAAGGCAATAATTGAAGACAACATTGTAAAATGTACTTGAGGGGGAACAGAAGAACTCATTTATCCAATTTTTATAATCGATCATCAATTTCAAGGGATTGGAATGGATAGAAAGGTGGATGAATGGGTTCTATACAAATTGACCGAAGAGCAGAGTAACCGTCGCCATGAAGTTCACTATACTCCGCATTTACCCAACAAAAGCATCCCGTTTCTCAACCGTTTGTGATGTACGATAAGTGGCACCTATGTGAAAACTTACAACTTCAACCGTAGTGTTTGAAGCTAAATGAAGCTTTCCAACAATTTGAGACGATAAATTTGCATAAGAGTATTCTTGATGGATTTTTCATTCTAGGAGGATGCAGTCGCTTAATATGACTTCAAAGATCCTGGTCAAATCATCAAAGTCCTAACAGCGGAAAAGTGTCGATAAGGAATCGATAAAATTCATACAGAACTCGCATACGCATTTAGATTTGCTCAACAAAAAAGGTCCAGTGCTACTGAGCGACAACACTAAACCACATGTTGCATAACTCACGGTGCAGATGTTCAATGAATCAAGTAATTAAGCTCTACACCACAGAGGATCCACATTCTACGGATCCCTAGCCGACCAACTAACAGATTTCTCGCACGCACCACTGCTAGCTGGGAAAAACATCAATAAACAGGTTGCTGCTAAAAATGTTCCTGAAGAAATTCGTCCCTTCGAAAATTCCAACCAATCTTAATTCTGCCATTTAGTCAAATGGTATCGCCGAAAATATCATGTTTCAAAATTCATCACTATTTTTTATTAGACTCTGCAGAAATAAACGAGCGTTTTAAAACATTTATTGTTTTGATATATTTTTTATCAATCAAACATTCTTTGTACCTTGCAATGTTTTATATCAACAGAAAGCTGATTTTATGCACTTTCCAACCATGACTTTATACTTGGTCGAAAATTTTTTTCACCAATTTTGAGCTTTCCAGTCTCAGATGTCACAAACCAGTCTTCGTCAAATTTTCTTTTACGGGTTCAAACTCTATTGTAGTGCAGCAGAAACGGCATGAAGCACTAATGAAGTTTGGGGTGAAGGTAGCGACGGTGAATCAACAGTGCGATCATGGTTGCGGAAATTCCGATCTGGTGATTTCCACCTCGAAGATAAGGAAGGCTGCGGACATCCCAACGAATTTAACGACGACTAACTGAAAGCACTATTGGAAGCAAACACGCGAACAACTGTTCGAGAGCTTACAGGACAGCTTGGCGCAAGCACAGGAACAATTTCCATTCACTTGAATCGCATAGGAAAGACAAAAAAGCTTGACAAGTGGGTACCGCACGAATTAAACGATAATCAAAACAGTTGTCGTTTTGAAGTGTCGTCTGCTTTTATTCTGCGCAATAAAAAATGACCTTTTTCTTGATCGAATTGTGACGTGCGACGAGAAGTGGGTTCTGTACGACAACCAGCGGCGTTCAGCTCAATGGCTGGATTGCGACCGTGCTCCACGAGACTTCCTAAAACCGAAATTGCACCAAAAAAGGATATGGTGACTGTACGGTGGTCTGCAGCCGAGCATATTCATCACAGCTTTTTGAAACCGGGCGAAACGATTAGGGCAGAAAGGTAATGCTAAAAAATCGAAGAAATGCACCGTAAACCACAACAAGAACGAACGGCATTAGTCAACAGGAAAAGACCAATCCTTCTCTACAACAAAGCTCGGCCTCACGTTGAGAAGTCAACGCTGCAGAAGTTGAACGCGTTCGGCTACGAAACCTTGCCCGATCCGCCATATTCACCAGACCTCTCGTATACCGAATATCACTTCTTCAAGCACATTGACAACTTCCTGTGCGAGAAATGCTTCACCAACCACGATGACGCAAGAAATGCCTTCAATGAATTCATCGCTTCCAGAACTCCAAAATTTTGTGCAACTGCAATACACAGACCTGCTTCTCGTTGGCAAGAACGTGTGAATTCGATTGCTTTTTATCTTGATTAATAAAGTTTTATCTGAAGCAAATTATGACATTCCAAAAAATATAATTAAAACGCTCATTTATTTCTAAACCCAATACATTAACCCACTATACACATCGACACTTAGATGAAACGTCTTCAGGAATACCAAGAGATCTACGCTCTCTTCAACAGTATGTTTCTACTGTACACAATACACAATCGCTCCCATCCGTGTTGCGCCTTCGGTGTGTACAGTTCACTCTATTTCGAAGACGTCATTACATTTCGAAGGCCTGAACTGTGCAGTCCAGGTGTATGTTGTAAACATCGGCTGTACTCCAGAATACATCAATCAGCTACTCTGTGGGTGGCGTGGTCGCAAGTTAAACTCACAACTCAGCGACGTAACACAGTGGTGGGAGGAAGAAAGCACAGAGTCAGAAAGTGAGAGAGGAGTTCTGGATTTATTCCTTTCAAAGGAAATTACGTAGAGCATTGCCTTATTCAGAACCAGTACCAATTTTGAGGGGTTTAATAGCGTATTAATAGCTACTACCATATCGTATATAAACATATATGATCAGCACAGTAAGCATAAACAGAATCAGCATTAAAACTAAAATTAATACTATACATGGATGCCAACTGCAATACTACTCCTTTCTTACAGACATTATCTATTACAAGTAGAACAAATATTAAAAGAAATAGAAAAGGAAACGTACAATGGGTAAGTGGCACACGTTGATGGTAATTTGGCACGAGTTGCTCCTGAAATTTTCACAGTTATTTGTTCATTTTCAATGGAACGAAGTAAGGTATAACGCGTTGATTCTGCCTTGATCAATCTCTGAAGAATGTACCATGCACTCGATTCAACTAAGCATCGTTAGGGGTAAATAAATACATATCTGCATCTATCTTATGCAATAACTTGTGGTGGCCTATTAAGTCAGTGCCATTCTCCAGAGTTTTATAGTAACAATTCACCGACCCTCGAAGGACGGAAGCCTTGGTGAACCGGTGACACAGGGTAGAACCAAAGATGACGCGTTAAGTGCACAACACCTCTGACCACTGTGCTACACGAGCGAAATAATTCAGTAAAATAATATCTAACAATGTAGACCTATTTAAATTGACAGCAACAAGTTGCAAGTAACCGACAACTGTTCCTAGGTTAAATACAACGCTACAATGTTATTCGATCTCCTTGTTTGAAAATACCAACCCCTTTATCGCTTAGTACTTTATAGTAATGACAAGTGGTGTCCTTAGTATGGAGTTATGGTCTTCAACAAGGACTTCATTCAATAGATAAGACATCTAGGTTGTGAAAGAATTCGAAGATGCCATTTTGAAACCCGTCTAGTGGAAAATCCATGCCCTAAATTGCCGCCGACACCACAAAAATTTAATCGTAAGACTGGAACCTTCTAATTCACAAACAACACAAACATAAACCATTTGTAGTTGATTCTGGACAACAATGGCATTTTCACACATGAACTAGCCATGAGGATTGTGCACGATCTGCTCTGACAACAACACAACGTTTTCAGATACCCAAGCGAGACTAGAATTATTGTTGAAACTCATTTCGCCGTGGTCTTAATTGATTAATCAATTGCTATTTTTTTTCACGGCATCCGTGTTAATAACAATGTCAACATCATCAACTACGACTCAACAAGTTGAAGAAGGGAATCGGTATTGAAAGGTCTTTTTACAAGTTTGTTGTCGAAAGCCCAACGCTAGACCACAAACGTAGGTGAGGTGGATTGAAGAGAAATCGAAGAAACGGAATAGACGATGAAAACAAAGATGAGAAGCCAGCTTCCACGGACTAATGTCGTAAATCTTATTCTCTGAGTTGGAGCTTCTATTGACGGCTTCCATCGGCTACGCTCGAATACGTGATGAACCCTATAGAATTGCATGAGACGCCACAAGGTAAAACATGATTTACCAACAAGAAAACTCAGAGAATCTTTAAAAAATAGAGCTAGCTGAAGAATGCGAAAGAGGAAAAAGGAAAAACTTTGCAAACAACCACTGCGTATAATGTAAATATTTGTGCGTACTTGGACAGAGATCAGTAAAAGGGAATTTTTTCAAGAAGGAAAGAAAAGAAAAGAAAAGAAAAGAAAAAGTGAAGGAAAGGAAAGAGAAAGAAAGAAAGAAAAGACTTTTAGATTAACAACATTGGCAATGTGAACTAAATTTACGTACATTGAAACCAAGATAATCTTTGCAAATGTAAAGTGATTCAGAAAATTCATCTACAAGAAAAACTACTAGGTGTAAGAGAAATACTTTGACCTCCTGCAATGAACCCACTTCACAGCAATTCCACCAAATTAAAAGCTATTCTTATTATTGAAAGACTACTTAAACTTGCAGTAGTCAAAGAAATGTTTTCTATATCACCAAACTCAATGACGGATCGCCCTTCTGTGTCTTTACTGTTTGCCATAGCAGCATGTCAAAAAGAAATGAAAGAAAAATGAAAAGAATGAGAACATACGTTATCAATCAAGCGATTCAATGCCTGCAGCTTCGCTTGCAATTCCTCGGCGTCTTCCTCCTGTGCATCTGCAAGTTTTTCGTTTTTAACGCTCAGAGGCTTAAAATAAGAAAAATGTTCAATTCGATGCACCGAAAAATGTCCTCTGATGACGAATAGCTTCTTGTGTTAAGGAAAAGAAATAATGAAAAGCATGCAAAAATCGGCAATCTACATTAATTATGAAGCCAGTTTACGCAAAAAGGTATCGAATACCTTTCTAGATGATTTCTCTATTTGTTAAAAATATATTTGATAACACCGCTACTCGGTCATTTGTAGCGCTCCGGTTAGAGGTGCTCTGCAATACACACAAAGGTAGTTACCCTTACCGGTAATGGTGATCGGGACTTCGAAGGCTATTTGAGGTTTCGGGTTGTAATCATAACTCAGCATCTTTGTCGTTGTACTCTACATTATACCTTGCCATGAAAAAAACAGGCAGCAAACAAAAAGCTAAAATACACGTGTTAATTGGTTCGATCACGTACCCCGACCTAATCAAACTATCCACCCCTTTAGGGTCGCAAAATTCGCACCAAATATGTTCGGCATGACGAAACTACTGACCTCATATATCGGTAGGCCAACGTAAGCCGTAAGCCATTCTATGTGCCAAATATGCACTCAGTCACCTCTACAATGATACGAACGCAGTCGTGGTGCACCCGTTAAGGGACTGGTCGACATTGAAGGTTTTATACGCCTTATTTTTTGCTCTTTTATGATTGACAACACTATGATGCACCGATCACCATTTTTCATTTCAATGGTGCAAATGAGATAAGTTTTGTCCTGATGTTTGACCCCGAATATTCTCTACTTCGAGTGAAAACAACAGACCTGGAAAGAGTGAGTCATCAAAAATATAAACTGTACAGGAAAATATCGACAGAAATTCAATATCATTATGTGTACAAAGATGAATTGTATAGTGGTGGATCGTTGGATTAATTTATGGTCTCCAAAGGTCCGCAATTCTAAATTGAACCTCACGAATAGGCGATAATTTACTGCTCCATGTGTAATTATTCTCTCTAAGCCACAATATTGAAGCAATACATTGTTTGTGTTCATCAATACAAACGTGATCGAAGCAGTATGCACTTCATTCCCAGTTTTCCAATCCTTAGCAACAATACCTTCTACTTGCTGAACACGATGCCACCATCTACACAGAACTCAGCTGTCATTTCGCATAACTCTTACCTTGTTTGCAGATGTACTATTCATCATGCTGATTTAAAAGAAGTACGTTGAGCAGCTGCAGCACAGACAAAAAAGGAAGGAGAAAACTCTACGAAGAAATATAAGAAACAATAGAATATGTCAATTATTGCGAAAAAAATCAATATTTTACTTATATATAAATCAACACCTCTACATAATGATACCGATCGCTATAAAACTACTAAATTTTTTAAACTACACAAGGTGGAGCAGGGACAATGCAGCGGTTAGTGCTGCCGTCGATCAGGAAGCAAAGGCCCTAGTTTGATCCCCGTCTGAACGCTATCCTCCAGTCCACGTGGGAATGACTTAGCTCAGCTATAGCTCTAAAGCCGAAAGAAGACTTGACAAGAATTCTATGACATTCATAAAGAAGATGAAATCCTCAAGCAGCACCCAAAACAACACGCGAAATATTCGAAGACCAATATGTATTCTTTCTTTGATGAGCTTACACGAGGTTGATAATGATATTTATTTATTTTCGGCTAACGTTTCGACGTCTTGGTCTTCCTCAGAGCTGATGATCCGAGCCGATGGTCCATGCTTGTTGTTCGTCTCGACGTTGCAGCTTCGCCTTCGTGTCGAGTCAGGTCTTCCTCAGTGAGCCATCTTCTCGAATGAGGCATCCTCACTCAGTGACGCCCTTCATTCGAGAAGATGGCTCACTGAGGAAGACCTGACTCGACACGAAGGCGAAGCTGCAACGTCGAGACGAACAACAAGCATGGACTATCGACTCGGATCATCGGCTATGAGGAAGACGAAGACGTCGAAACGTTAGCCGAAAATAAATAAATATCATTATCAACCTCGTGTAAGCTCATCAAACAAAGAATACATATTGATTAGTGATACCGAGGTTCAAGGAAAGCCGGTTTCGAAATATTTGAAGACCGTTGTGGAAGATGAGTACAAGGAGAATGAATCGAATGTAAGAAGTGCTGGGATCCACACAGTACATGTGATGACTGCTCACGTAAAATAAAAGTTAAAAAAATAAAATTACAGATGGTAGAAGACTATAACGACAATAACGGTAGTACATCCTCGATTAGGAACCAGAAACTAGAGGAATGCGAAAGATAAATTCGAGAGTACTTATCACCACTTAGCCCAATATGAAGAGGATTTCACTCCAATAAAGGCAAAAACCAATCTTGGAATTGACTAATAAAGTTTAAATTAGACTTTATTAATGAATATTTGTCATAAGATCTCAATAAAAATAAAATTATTATTTCAATTTTCCATGTATATATACATATATATATGCATACACATATGTGCACATGTATATGTATATGCAATATAACATATGTATATATACGTGTATATTTGTTGGGGGTGGAGGCCAAGGAGTTGGTGAAGTGGTCAGTGATTCATTTCATTTTCATAAGCTTTTTTTATTTATTATTTAGCAATTCATTAGCAAGCATGATGCTGTTTCGAAATCCCCCTAAGCGTCCTGTCCACATGGGAACGCCATAGTCCAGCTGTCTCCAAGACTGCACGGAGAATTGGCTCGACCCGCATTCAACGACATTCATAAAGAACACGAAATAATCAAGCAGCAGGCCAAACAACTAGCAAAATGTTCGGAGATGTTTGTAGAGGATGAGTGTAAGAAAACGAATCGAATGCGACAGGTGCTGGTATATGCACGATAGATGTGATGACAGGTCGTGTAAAAAAATATACATATGTAGGTATATATATATATATTTATTTATTTATTTATTTATATATATTAGTCCCCAAGATGGACTTTCTATTAACCTCGGCATTGGATTATAAATATGTTATTCTCTTTTTACAGCAATCGTGAGGTTGTTATTCAGCACGCGTTTACTTCCATACAAACAGAACACACACAAAACAACCGTAGCTGACATTTCGGCAGAATCGCATTCTTCAGAGCCGGGAAGGGTACACTAATACGCAACTTACTGGGTCAACCCTTCAATAGCATTAGCGCAAACCTGGAAACCTCCATCGTCCAACGATCCACAAAGGCCAGTGATAGGTTGTAGTGAAGACTTACATGGATACTTGGACGGCCTGTCCTCACTAGTTGTGTGGGCCCCAGCACAATTTCCATTTCTCGGAGTTTTGCTAATTTAGTCGTTATGTTTGCTTAGAGTTCCGAGGTCAGCCGGGCCAAAGTTTGTGCCAGGTCGTCACCACCACAAACAGTCGCAGGATCAGAGGAAGATTTGCCACCATGCAACTAGTTTGATACCAGAACGGTGGTGGATCCTGGTATTGGCTTACTTTTAGCTGAGGTTCCTTATGGAAACGCCGGACTACTTCTCACTTTGGGAGACTGCCGGGTGGATGAATTCCTCCGCTGTGCATCCCAGCCCGACACAAAGGAACACCTCCTAGCCACGATGGGGCAGTGAATGGTTTGGAGGATGGTGAAAACTTCAGGATGCCAACTAAGGATTTCAAATTCTAACAAAAATCAAGCTGAAGCAGCACCTGACATACCAATGAATGTGAGTAAAGAAAAGCCCGATTGCTGTTGCAAAAGTTGCGCGCGAACCCATCTCATCAGCCCCACCATGTCACTCTACGGATAACAACTGGGAGACAGTCAAAAAAAATGGAAGAAATAATTGCGATTGCACATGTGGAGTAATGGAACCCAGCTAAGCTGCGGCTGTAGTTGAAATCACAATGTTTTACTTTTTATTTTCTGCCTACTATAATTTCGCGGCAGAGTACTAAGCGAAATACTAAGCGTTCCATGCCGATTTGAGCGCCCCAGATCAATCCCGCTGATGGGTGATTGCTGTGGCAAAGATCGATAGAAATAGCTGAGAGACAGGCGAAACGAAGGACCTGCATGGTGTGGTGGTGAACGCGTTACTCCCCGGAAAGGACAATAGCGCGTTCGTTCCCCCACCATAGACACCTGCGGTCCAGAGTTTTGCAAATATCTCAGCAACGTTGTGGTTGTATTTCGCTTAGTACCCTGCCGCAAAATTATAGTAGGCAGAAAATAAAAAGGTATAACATTATTCGGATACCCTTCTCCACCACTAGGAGTTGATCAGTATGTGCACCCACACAGGCGATGCTTGAAGAATATCAAGTGGTGATGTTTTGTGCTAGTTTTTGTTAGTTTTACGAAATTAGCTCATGAAGAAATACGAAAGGGATAAAGGATAAAGCTTTATACACTTTCCAACAACATGTGCCATTCAATCGACTCCGCTCATCACACAATCCAGATGACTGATTGCATATTGGCTAATAGGATGACTTGCGTTGCCCTAGCCATATTTCAACGCGAGCTTTTTACTTTCACATATAAGTCCGATATCAGACTGTCGACTCCGGACTGATGGAGCGCTTAGGTTGGCCGTGGCGTCATACCGAGCTAATGACCACGTGTGCATTGCAAAGCACCTTTCACAACTTCGCTGAAATTGTCGAATTGAGATGTAACATGGACCTATTGCAAACGCATAAATTGACGGCGTGCCAAATATTAACCGAGTCATGTGTATTACTCAGACATGCTGAAACTGACGAAATTTTGTTTATGTGCAGAGACACAAAACGTCGAAGCGACGACGAAGGAGCGACCATAACTAGCCGTACGAGATCAATTTTCTGCTTATTCAGCATGACATGCATGAATTCGGTGTGAAACCACTCTATGACAATGTACTAAAGTTTTCTTCACACCCACTTGATGTCGGAAGTCATTAGCGAAAACGCTAATCAGAAGAAAAAAGAGATCGCTAGATGAGATAACCATTCGTCAAACTCACTGAGTAGAAGAGGGTTAAATATTTGGGTTAAAACAAAACCAGTTAAAAATCATTAATACGTTTCCTATTAATAAGTTCGTTAATTGTTCATGTCGAGTTCCTTACGTTCGAACCAAATAGATAGTGTGAATTCTCCTTATGAAGGATAACAGTTCCGGACACCTAATTGGAACCACTGCGGCTCTGAAGAACGCAAACACACAGAAACATTAGTCACAATGGAAACGTTTTGACATCAGCCTTATCGTAAGCCTATCAACAGAACAAAATGTTAGGTTAAACGATGTGCAGTGGGGGGTTAATCAGCACTGGATCACCGAAGGTGTGGAGTTTCCCTTCATATCGTGACAATTTGTGAGAACCACTGAAACTATAACTAGTATGGAAAAATAGAGAAACCAACGCTCAAGATTCTCCTTCGAAAGGCCGCTCTTTGCAAGCAAAGAAGCATTGATTCGCAAAAACTGACGAGATTTGCTCTGTGAGAATCGGAAACATGAAAAATCCATGTCGAGCGGTTGCCGATGGGATGTACAGGAGCCTACTAAGAAATTCTATTGGGCAAATGAACCCAACATTCCTTCCAAAATTTTGGTAAAAACATCCATTTTAAAAAGTGCAACGAAACTAAATTTTCAACCAATCCGACGAGTGTGACTGACATTTCTATACTGAAGGCCAGCCAACAGTAAATCGTGGAGTAAAAATAAATCAATGGTGGGAATCGCCGAAATCTGGGAAGGGCGATTGCACAGTAGCAAACTCTTTAGGGTTTACAGAACCCTGCGATTGCCTACACATCCTATGGAGAGCACTCCGTTTAAAACTCAGAAAACGTAAAAACATTGAAGGTTGTAAGGTAGGAGCCATCATAGCTCAACACTGATTGTTTTCCTATGAAATTCTGAACATGAACTTTCCATTAGAAGTGTAACGGTATCATTCTTTCAAGTGAAAGAGAACACCTTCACGTGAAAATAGAAGGAAAATGTTATAGTCAAAGAAAGAACAAGCGGTAGTAAGTGAAACTCACACAGTTATTAATACATTTGTGACTGTGTTGCTTTTTCAACGACTGTCTATAATCTTACCAAAACTATAAAGTCCTCGACAATCTGATGAGTTACTAAGTGGAAGAGAGGGAAATAAGAACAGAATTTACCATGCAGTTAGACGTATACAGTTGGAATAAATCTTGCCCACTAAACCACTTCCCTGCTT